TGGGGCTGCATGCCCTCGGCTGGAAGGTGAGGACCCTGGCCTTTCCCACACACGCAGCCAGAAGAGCTGCCGTCTGTAATTAGAAAAATCATGTTTGTGCGTCTTTTCTCATAAAAAAGGTATATGGTTGGGCCGCCTGGGTGGCTCAGTTGCTTAGGCGTCCGACTCTTGATTTCGGCTCAGGTCATGATCTCACGGTTTGTGGGTTCGAGCCCTGCATCGGGTTCTGCGCTGACAGCACGGACCCTGCTTGGGATTTTTTCTGCCTCCTTCTCTCTCTCTCAAAATAAAGAAAAATAAATTTTAAAACTGTAAAACAATGGTATGCTTGCTGCTGCCATGTACTGAGCTCTTGCCTTAGGCCACGCTAATTGATAGCCTGGCTTTCTGTATATAAATGTCTTACCCTTTCAAAAGTTCTACATGGCAGCTCTTAGTACAGCCCCCCTTCATAAATTTCTGCCCGTGTTCTGTTATCCTGTTGAGGAACTATCCTTCAATTCCTCTTGTAGTAAGGGTTTTTCGTTTTTAATTTTTTTAGTGTTATTTATTTGTGTGTGTGAGAGAGGGACAGCGTGAGCAGTGGAGGGTCAGAGAGAGAGGGAGACACAGAACCCGAAGCAGGCTCCAGGCTCTGAGCTGTCAGCACAGAGCCCGACGCGGGGCTGGAACCCACAAACCGTGAGATCATGACCTGAGCTGAAGTCGGACACTTAACCGACTGAGCCACCCAGGCGCCCCTTGTTTTTGTTTTTAATGTTTGTTTATTTTTGAGAGAGACAGAGGGAGCCTGAGCTAGAGAGGGGAAGAGAGAGAGGGAGAGAGAGAATTCCAAGCAAGCTCAGCAAGCTCCATGCTCATCGTGGAGCCTGACTCAAGGCTCGAGCCCACAAACTGTGAGATCATGACCTGAGCCGAAATCAAGGGTCTGATGCTTAAGCAACTGAGCCACCCAGGTGCTTCTAGTTAAAGTAATTTCTATACCTACCATGGGGCTTGAACTTGACCCTGAGATCAAGCATTGCGTTCTCTACTGACTGAGCCAGCCAGGGCCCTCATTCTTTTGGGTTTTGAAGGTACATCGTATGGTACAAATATGACAGCTTTATTTCATTTCCTCTAAATGTAACTCCTTTACATTCTTTGTGTTATTTCTAGGACTGGCCCTATTATTTTTCATACGATAAGTGGGCATCTTTGTTTCATTTCCAATTTTAAAAGAAGTGCTAATAATCTTTCCCTTTTAGGCTGATGTTTGCTTTGGGTTTACTGATGATAACCTTTCTTAGATTAAGAAAATTAATTACTTTATATTCTTAGTTTTACCATTTACCATGTTGAGCTTTTATCAAATGCTTTTTCTGTAGCATCCTAAGGTTTTTTGCTTTTATCTGTTAATATGATTTATATTTTTAATAGTAAACCCTCATTACATTTATGGGATAAACTCCAATAAACTATAGTATAGACTTTTTAAAAATCTGAGGGGCGCCTGGGTAGCTCAGTAGGTTGAGCATCCGACTTTGGCTCAGGTCATGATCTGACAGTTTGTGAGTTTGAGCCCCGCATCCAGATTTCTGTTGGGAGCTCAGAGCCCGCTCTGGAACCCCTGTTCCCCTCTCTCCCTGCCCCTCCTCTACTCTCTCTCTCTCTAAGATGAATAAACACTAAAATCTGAAACTTTTATTAGAATATAATGCATTTTATATGCTATTTGTTAAATTTTATTTTTATTAAAAACATTTTTTAAAATGATTTATTTCTGAGAGAGTGCGAGAGAGACAGCGTGAGCATGGGAGGGTCAGAGAGAGAGGGAGTCACAGACTCCGAAACAGGCTCCAGGCTCTGAGCTGTCAGCACAGAGCCCGACGCGGGGCTCCAACCCACCAACCGCGAGATCATGACCTGAGCCGAAGTCGGACGCTTAACGTAAGCCACCCAGGCGCCCCATGGGTTTACTAAATTAAAAAAAAATTTTTTTCTACATTCGTGAGTGAAATCAATCCTGTTTCTTTTCATGTGCTGCCCTTGTATAGTTTTAGTATCAGAGTTATATTAGTATATTGGCCTCATAGTATGAGGTAGGGTGGGAGTATTTTTTTTTTTTTAATGTTTTTATTTATTTCTTGGAGAGAGAGAGAGAGAGA